AATATATTATATTATTATTATATTACTTCGTGTAAAAACTATAAATATTATTAATTTTATTTTTATTTATAATAAATTGCTATGTCGTAGGTCGTTTACAAAAGCCCGAAATTCCTATAGTCCTTCCGGAATCACCTCTTCTCAATCCATTTCTAAATAAGTAAGTTTTACTTTGTTAAGTGATGTTACATTAATTATTACTACAGAACGTGTAATTTTATTTCAGACTTCTTATAGCAAGATTAAAAGACTTTCCTTATATAAGTTTAGTAGGAAAAGACCGTAAGTTTCTTGTATATAATTTCTCTTACTCATAAATTTAATGTATGATTTAATGCAAGTAATGTTAATTTTTCTTGTTGGCAGCAAATCCTAGTAGAGATCACGTGTTCCATTTAACATTCCCGAAAGAATGGAAGTATAATGACATTTCGCAATTGTTTAGTCCATTTGGTAAGTACTACCTATGTACATACATATATTGCACTAATTTTTGAATTTTACTTATATACTTATTCTTAATAATACTTCTTTTTCTAATATGAGCCTTTATTCTTCCTCTCACTACGTGCATTCTGCACATCTACTGTCATGTTTGATCGCAAAACTGCTTATATCTTTAGAATTAAAAACCGTCAGCTGAGTTTTTGTTTTAATTCGTGAAATGTGTCGTATTAAGCATTTGAGATATATATGAATTTCTTATTCTATGTTCACGATGTGAGTTTCGGCAGTTTCGAATCACAAAAAAGTGCAAAATTTTGAATTCTATAAATTTGAAACTTTTTTAGATTTGAAAAAGTTTTGACGTTTTGATGTTTCAAGTAATTCATTCTTCTGCATAATTAATAAATTATGTAAACTTTACTTTCATATGCTTTAATTTTTTTGTATTTGTATTATTTTGATTCGTATTAATCACTTACTATTAGTAATAATATTAGTAATTGATATTATTTATGTTAAAGTATTTGAAATCAGACATTCGTATCACTTTATTTATTTTAATATATTGACAACCTTTGTTTGCAATGGAATTGGTAGAATAATATTACTATTGTGCGGCAGCTTGAAAGATTTATTTTTGTAATTGCATACAAAATTAAAGTTTACATCAATGCAACTTCTGTATCAATTTATGTATTCACATATGTATGTACATACATTTAAAACATTTTGTGAGAGAAACAATTTCATATTGAAACAAAGATCTTTCGAAAAGAAATAAATAACGTGGTTGTTTTATCTGTAAGAATTTTGCACATATATTGTCGATCTATTGTTCTATGTTTGATTACGTTAATATTGTATTTGTGTTATCTATACAAATTAAAATGTTTTAACTGTTTGTATAAAATTAATTTATATTCTTGTTTCAGGAGGTGTGTATGTGTCATGGTTATCGGACACATCCGCGTATGTAGCTCTGAATCGTCGAGAACAAGCTATTTCAGCTGCGAAGAGTTTACGTAAAAAATCAGGTACATATAAAATACAAAAGTATGCAGAGTACCAAGCATCGTTGGAGAATCTTAACAGGGGAGAACGGAAACGAAAGTTAAGTAGCTTATATATAAGCTATTCCACGAATGAGTAAGTAGTCTTGCATTATTATTTTTTCGTTGAAATTATACTGTTGGATGTAAAAATAGTTTTAAAATTTTGTTACTCTCTTCGAACGAAACGTATGTATAGATTAATTTCGGTTTAATTAATCAATTAAATATTGTATAGGGTGAGTCATTTAAAATTAGAATTTGAAATATTTCTAAGGCTTTCAATGATAAAAAACGTTTATGAAAGTATTTGGTACAGAAAATTAATATGTGTATTAGACTAAAGATTTTTTTATGAAGGATATATTTTCCGACATTTTA